TGACGAAACGTCTAGCTAAGCTAGCAAGCTGACAACCTCAAATTTTGAATTAAAATCTGTAGACTCTAGATCCTCAATGTTGTTTCATGCCTTGGTGTACAAGCTAATTGTGATTTGGAAGTTTAAGAAATCATCCATTGTTTACTGTTCTTGTTCCTGTTGATACTTCATGTCATTGGTATATTTTGTTTTATTTCCTGACCCATTATAACATGCATCAGGAAGTATTTCTTTATTGGACCATTTCTTCTATTGAAATCACACGTCTGCTTTCAAGAGCTGGTGTTAAAAACAGAAGCACAGCTGTGCCAAAAACATTTTCTAGATGGCATAATGAATGAAACTTGGTGTGCACCAATCTTTTTTCTTTATAGAATTAAATTCTAAACAGAATTGAGGAATGAATAGTCTGGTTTATTAACATTTGTTTGATATCTGTCTAGCAATGCAGGGTGTGTAGTGAAAATGGAAAATCCTGTGGGTCTGCAGGGTTAACTGATGGTCCAGGTGTCATGGATGCTGATTTTTTGCTTTATGTGAGTGCACTGACTACAGAACGTTGTGGACAAGAGGATATTGTAGCCTATGCAGCGTACTGTCAACTGGAAGCAGAATTGGACAGGTGGGAAAGGTTATGATTAGACTTTAATATGTAACTAATTGTAACTCTATCTTGATTTCAAATCTGAATTTCAAACTGGCTTTTTCTTAAGTAGCCACATCTTATACAACCTATATGAAAACCTTAATTTGGTGCTCGACAATAATTGCCCGTGCACACCAAGTGTGATCCAAGTTGAAACAGCATTGAAACATCAAATATTAAGTTTTAGTCCTAAATTATTGATAAAAGATGTCCAGCAATTTGACAGTTTTTGATTTTGATCATGTGTTGGCTCACTTGGTAAATTGAGGTAAATTTAGATGGCAATGGTTGTTACCCTTGTTCCAGACTGTAAGGGAGCCACTTTATCTGTGTGCAAGAGCACAAGTAAGAATTTATATTATTTCAAATGAAGAAATTAAAAATACACTGTAATTTCACCAGTCCTAAAATCTGTCGTTCAGAAGTCAACTGGAAAATCAGTTTTCTAGAAATTTTCTGAGCAGACCCAAGCATTTCATTAGAGTCATTATTGCATTGTTCTTTGGACGCCAAAGCGTGGAAAATACATATTTCAATGAGTAAACTATTTTCTTTGCTTCCTTATCATGTGTGATCACTGTTTATGCTTCAGGCAAATATTTAATGTTACAGAGTTTGCAGTTCATACAGTTGTGGTTAGGCATTCTGATATTTTTGTGCAATCCAGAAAATTCAAAAATCCACAAGTGACTTCAAAGCAAGGTAGAAGAGCAGAAGTAGGCCATTTGGCCCATGGAATCTGTTCTGTCTTTCATTGCCCTGATGATGCCCTCGGTCCTAGACTATAGCAAGAGGAAAATGTACTCTCCAAGTCTATGCTGTGAAAGAACCTTGTATGTTTTAATAAGGTTGCCTCTCATTCTTCTATGATGTGGAGGTGCCGGTGTTGGACCAATGTGGACAAAATCAGAAATCACACAGCACCAGGTTATAGTCCAACAGGTTATTTCAAAAACACAAGCTTTCGGAGCTCCGAATAAACCTGTTGGACTCTCCTCTGGTGTCGTGTGATTTCTCATCTCATTCTTTTAAACTGCAATGAGTACAGGTTCAACCTAGTCAACTTATTTTCATTAAAAAAAAGCCTCTTCGTACGCAGGATTGACCTAGTGAACCTTCTGTGGACTGCCGCCAATATCTGTATATCTTACCTTTAATAAGAGGACCAAAAATGTTCAGCTGTACTCCTTAAACAGCACCTTCTGACCCCACTATTACTACTATCTGGAACAACAAGGGCATCAGATACATGGGAGAACCACCACCTGTATGTTTCCCCTTCAAACCACCCACCATCCAAACTTGAAAATATAACACTGTTCCTTTAGCCTCAAAATCCTGGAACTCCCTCCTGAATGGCATTGTAGGTCTACTTGCACCAAATGAACTATAGTTGTTCAAGAAGGCAGCTCAGCACCAAGTTCTCAACGTCAACTGGGGCTTGACAGTAAACGCTGGCAGCCAGCAACACTCATATCCCATATGTGAAATAATTTTGAAAAGAATTATTCACTGTATTTCAGTTGTGGTTTGATTAGTGCTTGTATAGTTTTAGCAAAACTTCCTTATTTTTATACTCCATTCCCTTTGTGATAAAGGCCAAAGATCCATTTGCCTTCTTTATTATCTGATGAACTTGTATGCTAGGTTTTCGCGATTCTTGTGCAAGGACACCCGAATTTCTGTGTGCTGCAGATTTCAGCAGCCTTTCTCCATTTAAGTAATATTCAGTTCCTTTTCCTGCCAAAGTACAGAACCTCACGTCGTATTCCATCTACCAAGTTAGATAACTGGTTTATATTTTAACAGATTTGCCAGATATGACCTCCCCTTGATGAAGCCTTGCTGACTCAGCCCTATTTCACCATGCACTTCCAAGTACTCTGCAATCTTGTCCTTAATGCTGGAGTAAAATTTTAACAATAATTACAATATTTAAAAGGCATCTGAATGGGTACATGAATAGGAAGGGTTTACAGGGATATGGGCCACATGTCGACAAATGGGACTAGACCAGCTTAGGATATCTGGTTGGCATGGACAAGTTGTTCTGAAGGGTCTGTTTCTGTGCTGTATAACTCTATGACTCTGTGACTTTATGTGCCTGTGCAGACTGTTTGTATCATCCTCGATACTTAATTTCCCAATCGTTTTTGTAGCATCTGCCAACTTGACGATAGTGCATTCGCTTTCTTCATCCAAGCCATGAATAAATATTATAAATTATTGTGGTCCCCACATTAATTCTTGCGACAATCCTCTAGTGACAGGTTGCCATCGTGAAAATACTGCCTTTATCCCAATTCTGCATTGTATTAATTAGCCAATCTTCAGTCCATGCTAATACACTCTCCCAAACCCATAGGTTTTAATCTTGTTAAGAAGCGTTATGTGCAGTACGTTATCTAATGCCTTTTGGAAATCAGAACATCTTTCTGATTTTTGACAAGCTCCCATTATTTCTTCCTTGATATCCTTTCCAACCATGTGGTTACTATTAGGGGCCTATACACAGCTTCCACACATTAACTTTTGCCTTTATCATTCCATATCTGTACACAAACTGCTTTTCTATAACCTGGTTTCCTGAATTAATGTCATTGCCCTCTAATATACTAATATCAATTTTAATTACCAGAGCCACTCCTGCACACTTCTTCAGCTTCGTGCCCTTCCTAAATGTCACATACCCTTCAATATTCAGGTCCCAGTCTAGATCATTCTGCAGCCAGATCTCAGAAGTTAGAAACAGAATACGCATGAAAAGTAGTAAAGATTGAAGTATCTGATTCATTTGTTGCAGTTTTTTTTTCTACAAAACAGATAAAAATGAAAAAAATGCAGTGATATTGTGATGGTGGTCATGTTTTTATCTGCTTCCATTTCAAATCCCTTTTTCCTCATAAAAGTAATTGTTGAATTATTTACCTCCTAGAATTGTGGCACAACAAAATCTGGTAAGTTCTTCTGGAATATAGATGATTCTGTTATTTAGCCTAAGAATTGTCTGTCTATGAAATACATCTGTACTATTAATTTGTTGTAGATTTTTAATGAACAAGAGGTTCAATATAGAAACTATTTTCAAATGAAATATTAGAAAAGCTTAGCATTTGTAATTTTTTTAGTTATTTGTTTAATGAATTACTTCCTTTAAATATTGCAGGCCTATTGCAGGATATGCAAACCTATGTCCAAGTATGATTCCCACTGAGCCACAAGAGTTCAAAGGCATGTTGTCAACTGTAAAACATGAAATTGTCCATGCTTTGGTAGGTTCACTGCAGACTTATGTTCATTTCCAATTTACAAAGCTCAGCATTGAAGTTGTTTTGAAACCGTGAGGATTATGTTGTGCCTTGTTTTATTATGATACAGTTGTTCCAAATATGAAAAGATGTTTCTTTTCTATTACAACTCAGGGCTTCTCTGCAGGACTTTTTGCTTTCTACCGTAATGATGAGGGAAAACCTCTAACTGCAAGAAAGGCAAATGGTCTTCCATCTTTTAATGAATCGTAAGCTGGATACTTTGTGTATTTTTTAAATTTTGAGAAAACACATTTAGTTGTCATCTAGTGTGAGGTATGTTTTAAAATACATCTTGTAGTTTGAATAAATAATTTACCTTGTTCAGATGCTGTAAGTTATCATTTGTGTTCACTGCCAGTTAGACTTTTTAAATACCTTGAACACACTGTGATCACAGTTTGCACATTTTTATTTGAATAGGCTTGGATTGTATCAGTGGAGTGACAAAGTTGCACGCAAGGCATCAAGATTATGGGATATAAGGGGAAACAAAAAAATCAATCGTGAGGTCCTTCTCCTTGTGACTCCACGAGTAGTTGTGAGTATTAACAAAAGTACTTTTTTTTATTTTTTCAAACATTCATGTTGGAAAATGGGGTGGAATAGATAATATATTTTGACTTGTAAAAAAATCTTTTGATAAAGATTTCTGTGAGAGACAAAATTATAGAAGAATAGAGGATTGACTGACAGAAAACAGCAAAAGAGTGAATGTATTTTTCACCTATTGTTACGACCAAATGTGGCATCAAGGAGACGTCACATTCTGTGCCCTTTCACAACCCTCCCACTGTGCTTCCTCCAAGTTGTGTACAGATTGGAGGAGTACTGGGGGCTGGTTGGAGGTGGTGTTGTAAGCACTAGGCCTTAATCAGCAGGAAATAGCTTTGCCCATGTTTGACTTGAAACTGAGATTTCATAGGGTCCACAGTCAACATTAAGGACTACCGGGGCAACTCCTCCTTCATTGTATACCACTGTGCCATCACGTCTGGTGGGTCTTTCCTGCTGGCAGGACAGAATATTTTCAAGAATGGTGAAATTGGTTTCCTGGACATTACCTATAAGATGTGCTTGTGAGAGTACCACTTTGTTAGATGTTTAACTAGTCTGTGGAAGAGCTCTCCCAAGTTTGGCACAAGTCCCAGGGGGGATTTCCAGTGTTTAAGGAAAATTTTGCATGGTTGTCATCATTACTTTCAGTGCAATATTGATGCCAGGTAGTCTGCCTAGTTTCATTCCATTCTTCAGATTTCATAATAGTTTGATACGACAGTGTAGCTTGTAAGGCACTTTCAAAGGACATTTTACAGTCAGCCATATTCATTGGGTGTGGAGTCACATGTAGACCACACTAGGTAAGGGCATCAAATTTCCTTTCTAAAGGGCATGAGTGAACTAGATGTGTTTTTATGTCATTCAGCAGTTGTTAGAATAGCTGTCATTAGACTTATTAATTCCAGATTTTATTGAATTCAAATTTCATGAGCTGCTAAGGTAGGCTTCTGTGTTCCCAGAATATTAGCCTGGGTTTCTGGATTATTGGTCCAATGACATTACTGTGACAGCCCTGCCCCCACCTATCTTCAATAAATTCAGAAAAGCTATTTAGCTGAAAAACCTATTTTTCTCAACCTGATTATGCATTGTGCAGAAGGAAGCCCAGAACCACTTTAACTGTCCAATTCTTGAAGGAATGGAACTTGAGAATCAAGGTGGAATGGGTACTGAACTGAATCACTGGGAAAAGCGGTTGCTGGAGGTGAGATTGATTCATGATTTTCAAATTCATTGAAGAAACAAGTATTTCACTTCAGCTACAATCTATACAAATTATTTCTGCTGAGGATTACACGCATAATAGTAGTGAAAATATTAATTATCACAAATAACTCATTCAGATAGAACAGAAATGCTGAGAAATGTTGTTTTGACCTGAAGAGAACTGATTTATTAGTGATCTGCTGTGTGTATCCTTAAGCAGAGCAGTAGAAAATACTACTAGTTCTTTTGCAAAGCCTAATCACTGCTAAAAGCTCCTGTTTGTGGGTTTTACATTGAAATGTCAATTAATGAGACCGTAGACTTTATCTCTCTATTTGGCGCATATATGTGGTTTTGCAAAGGCTAATTAGATAGTGAAGTTGATGTTTTGGATTTTTTTTTCTTTTTGAAAGTTATATTCTGATTTAATTCATAGATAGCAAGAACTGCAGATGCTGGAGTCAGAGATAACAAAGTGTGGAGCTGGAGGAACCAGCAGGCCAGGCAGCGTCAGGGAGGGTTGGACACGGGATGAGGCCAGAAGTGGGGAAATTTTGAAGCTGGTGATTCCATGTTTAGGCCTAAACCCTCCCTCTCATCCCCGCCACCTTGACCTGACACAACCTGTCCATCTTCCCTCCCACCTATCTGCCCCTCCCATGTCACTGACCCTCCCATGTCACTGACCAATCCCCACCACTCCCTACATGCACTCACCTATCACCATCCCACCTACCTTCTCCAGCCCCACCCTTCCTTTCTCTATTTATTTTTGAGCTCCCTTTCCCCTCCCCATTTCTGAAGAAGGGTCCTGACCTGAAACATCACCTTTCCTGCTCCTCAGATGCTGCCTGGCCAGCTATGTTCCTCGAGCGCCACACTTCGTTGTTCTGATTTAATTGTTATCCTTTGTAGTTGAAAACCACAGAAATTGTATCCAAACTTTGAAAATGGTTCAGATTTGAAACCACTCACTTTAGGAAGACTTGCTGGATGTGTTTTGTGAAATAAAGCTACTAGAATAGCATGACCTTTAAATTTCAAGGTAATAGCTTGCACTTTCACTGAAAATGAGGTGAGAGTGACTGCCGTTGACCTTAGGTTGCATTTGACCAATGTGGCATCAAGGAGGCTTAGCAAAACTAGAGTCAGTGGGAATCATGGGGAAAGCACCCCATTGGCTGCAGTCATACCTGGCTTAAAGATGAATGTGGTGTTTAGAAGTCAGTCATCTCGGTGCCAGGACATTTCTGCAAATGTTCCTCAGGGCAGTGTCCTTGGCCCAATCACCTTCAGCTACTTCACCATTGACTTTCTCACCATCATATGGTTAGAAGTGGGGATGTTCACTGATAATTAAACACTGTTTAGCATATTTCACAACAATTTAGATACTGAAGTAGTCCAGTGCCCAAATGCAATAGGATGTGGGCAGTATCCAGGGTTGGGCTGACACATGGCAAGTAATACTTAGGTCACATAAGTGCCAGACAATGACCATTTGCAAGACGAGAGATTCTAACCATCACCATCACCAAATCCCCCACTATCCACATCCTGAGGGTTACCATTGACCAGAAACTGAACTCAGCATAGTAGCTATAATAGCAGGTCAGAGTCTAGGAATGTTGCAATGAATAATTTAAGTCCTGACTCCTTAAAACCTGAATGCAGTCTGAAACGATTCAGGTGTGTGACAGAATACTCCCTGCTCGTCTGGATCAATGCAGCTCTGGCCACGCTTAAGAAACTTGACACCATCCAGGTCAAAGCAGCCGACTTGTTTGGCAACAAATATGCAGTTCCTCCACCACTGATGCTCAGTAGCAACAGCGTGCACCATCTACAAGATGCATGACAGAAACTCACCATGGCATTTTAGTCAGTGCTTTCCAACCCCATGACCACCACCATCTTTTCTGAAGAACGGTCCCTACCCGAAACGTCAGCTTTCCTGCTCCTCTGATGCTGCTTGGCCTGCTGTGTTCCTCCAGCTCCCCACCTTGTTATCACCATCTCGAAGGACATGGGAACACCACCACCTGTAAATTCATAATTATGAAGTGCCTCAGTGCCTGTACATCTGTGTTTCTCACAGTATGTCCTTGGCCTAACCACCTTCAGCTACTTCATTAATTACTTTCTCACCATCATAAGGTCAGAGGTATGAAGCTTTGAGAAGTTGGTCATGGCTCACATCAACTGTTACCTTGATCCCTTGCAATTTGCCTACTAACACAACAGGTCCTGGGCAGAAGCCATCTCCCTGGCCTACACTCATCCCTGGAACATCTCCACCTTGAACAGACTACAGCTCCACCTTGAACACCATAACTTCAAACAAACTTTTCTCCAAACTCTGGACCTAGGTCTGTGCTCACATCTCTGTAACTAGATATATGACTTTCTGACCAACAGACAGCAGTCAGTAAAAATAGGTGACGACAGCACTTCAATGATAATCCTCAACACCAGATTCCCGCGAGGATGTGCGCTCAGCCCCTTACTACACTGCTTATATACACGTGACTATGTTGCCAAATTCTGCAATTTACAAACTCCATTTACAAGTTTGTTGACGACGACACCACCATTGTAAGTTGGATCTCAAACAGCGACAAGACAGAGTGCAAGAAAGAGATAGTGTTTAGTGAAATGGTGTGGGAACTGCTCTTCCCAAGACCACAAGAAACTACAGAGAGTTGTGAACGCAGCCCAGTCTATCATGCAAGTCAACCTACCATCCATTGACTTCACCTATACTTCCTGCTGCATTGGGAAAGCAACCAACATAATCAAAGACTCCTCCCACTCACGTTATATTGTCTTCGACCCTCTTCCATTGGGCAGAAGATGTAGAAGTTTGAATACGTGTATGACCAAATTCAAGAAAAGCTTCTTCCCTACAATTATCAGATTTTTGAATGGATCTCTAAAGTGTTCATGTTGATTTCTCTCTGCACCTTCTGCGCAGCTTTAACATTGTATCCTGCACTCTGTTCTGTTAATCTGATGCGCTGTATAATACCATCTCCCTGTAGAGCACACAAGATAAGACCTTTTTCACTGTACCTTGGTATACATGATAGTAACCTATCAAATCAAATCAATTCCCTTCTAAGGCACTCTACTCCAGACTTGGCAATATATCATCATTCCCTCAGTGCACTGTGTCAAAATCACGAAACTCGCTTTCTGATGGCATTGTTGGTCTGCCTAACCAGATGGATTTTAGCAGTTCAAGAAGGCAACTCACTACCACTTTCTCAAGGGCAACTAAGGATTACCAATGAAATTGGCCCAGTCCAGGGTACCCACAACCCATGAGTGAATTAAAAAACAAAATTCCTGATGGAATGTAATCGATCCTTGCTGGAATGTCTCAACCTGTGATAATGCGTAAACCTGGAGTATAAAGTGAGCCAGATTTCTGATGTCCCAGTTTACCCAAACACTGACCTTTGATTAATAGGCAGTATTTTTAAAAATTCATTTATGGGATGAGGATATCACTGGCTAGGTCAGCATCTATTGCCCATCCATCACATTATCTCATGTCTGGAGTCACAGGTAGGCCAACCAGGTAAGGGCATCGGTGAACCAGATGGATTTTTCTGACAATCAACAAGAGATTCATGGATATCATTAGACTCCTAATTCCATATTTTCATTGAATTCAAGTTCCAACATCTATTGTGACAGGATTCCAACCTAGGTCCCCAGAGCATCACCTGAATCTCTGGATTAACAGCCCAGCAATAATACCACTAGGCTGTCACCTCCCCTAATGATATTAATGGAAAGTTATTCAAACCATGGGGGCTAAACTGGAATTCAGACCAGGATGTGTGCAAACTTACAAACAAAATTGCTTCACAACTTACAAGGGGGAAGTTTTAATTACTTATTAACAGGATGTGCGTATTGCCAATGTTTAATGAACAATTTATCTAAAATATATTTCTCTGACCGATGTTTTCATGCGATTTTGACACTGATTATGTTTTCCCTTTGTAGATTTGCTTTAATCAAGTAATGTAGGTTTTAATTTGCTTGTGCCTTTTACACTGTACAACAACAGCAGCAATATGTGATAAAATGCCATAAAAGATGATAAAGTCAGAAGTCACACAACACCAAGTTATAGGCCAATGGGTTTATTTGAAATCCCAAGCTTTTGGAGTGCTGCTGCTTTATCAGTCACTTTACTTCATCTGACGAAAGAGCAGCGCTCCAAAAGCTTGCGATTTCAAATAAACCTGTTGGACTATAACCTGGTGTCGTGTGTCGTGTGCCCCCCCCAGTCCAACACTGGCACCTCCACACCATAAAAGATAATAGGTTAATCTTCCATTTGCTGAAGCACTTCAAAATGAGGAAAGGCCAAAGAAGTAATTTTCTTTCAGCTGAGCCAAGTCGAGCATTGATCAAGACTGAGGTTCAAATCTTCCAGCTTGTTATGAATGATAAATGGTATATAATTTAGTGAGACCCTACTTAAAGAGACTGGGACCTTTACCTTTGCCAAAGAGAGAACCAGGAAAGTCACTGTGATTCTGAAAGAAAGGTAAAATTGACTAGTTTGATGGTCCCTTTAAGTTCTAGATGATATTTTGTTCTTCTGTTTCTACCCAGAATGAAGCAATGACCGGCTCTCACACACAGAATAGAGTATTCTCCAGGTTAACCTTGGCAGCTTTAGAAGACACAGGGTAAGATGAATGATGTGTAAGCAGATTTTAATATTGCGCAATGTCTTGGGAAATCTTACCTGCTTTTTCACTCTAAGTTCAATCAAATTATTTAAAACATTTCAAAAAATATGGATTAAAAACAAAAATGTAAACACTGGAAAGGAAAAGCACACTCGTGGAGCATTTCTAATGATGATTCAGGCAGACCTCCAGGTACTAGGCAATACTTAAGATCTTGGATCTAAACGGAGTATTTAAAATTAGAATTTAAGACTTGCTTTATGCAGGATGTAATTTGCTGAGAGTGCCCTTTCACACTCATTTGCTTATGGAAAGTGACAGATTAGGTTGTCAACTTTTTTATAGATTGTGTGAGAAAGCAAATAAGTGATAGGCAAATGCAAATTAACTAATTTGGGCAGCACGGTGGCTCGGTGCTTAGCACTGTTGCCTGACAGTTCCAGGGATTCGGGTTCAATTCTAGCCTTGGGCAACTGTCTGTGTGGAGTTTGCACAGTCTCCTCGTGTCTGCGTGGCTTTCCTCCCGTTGCTATGGTTTCCTCTCACAGTTGAAAGATGTAGACGTCAGATGAATTGGCAATGCTAAATTGCTCGTCGTCTCCAGGGATGTGTAAATTAGATGGATCAGCCATGGGAAATTCAGGGTTACAGGGATAGAGTAGGGGGGTGAGTCTGGCTGGGGTGCTGTTCGGAGAGTCAGTGTGGACTTGTTGGGCCGGATGGCCTGTTCCCACGCTGTGGGGATTCTATGGTTGTATGATAATTCTTGGTGGTGTTGAAAATCCAAACTCTGTGCAGTTCTAATATTTTTAAATTTGTTTAGACAATTAAATATACCGTTTGTTTGTCACATCTATATTTCAGACATTGGTCATACTGAAGCTTCTGGGCACAGATTTAGGAAGTGAATTATGCAGTCACCACGTCTGAATTGAGTTAGTGATCAAATGTTTTCACAGAGTAGCATGTCCGTACAGGGTTCATTCATTCATTTTGCTGATACCATATTCTTGGAGTATGGAAAGGAGCACCCAGTTCCTGTAATTATCTAATATTAAATTTATGACGTCTTCAGTTCCAGTGAATTACCTGAGCACTTTGCAGTGCAGCTTCAGTCAAGTTTGAGAAGAAATTCTCAGGCTTTGATACCACTTGCAAGACCGGCATTTATGCCCATTCATCATTGTTAAGGTTTGTTGCAAGTAAATAACCTTTTTTAATTTGTTCATGGGATGTGTGTGTCACTGACAGGCCTGTCCCTCATGGCTGTTGCAAATTGTTAAGAGAGCTTTAACTAAGTAGATCTTGTGGATCTTGTGTCACAAGAGACCAGACCACGTAAGGATGTTTGACTTGCTTCAAAGTAGCTGCAAAGTACTTTAATTTATTGTGAGAATATAATACAGTGCTACATAAATACAAGTTCTTTACTCTTTCAATGCACAGTTAAAAAGCATTGTTTATAATAAAATTTTGGAGAACATATCCACTGAAACCAGTTTATAGTCTGCATATGAAAATAAATTGACTCTTCTTGTCATTCCACTTTATGTTGGAAGATTGTGAGGTAGGATGAGCTAACTTTGAGACTGTCACGAAAGGGGAATGGTATCTGAGGCAGATGGGAAAAGAAAAGTAACTGTCCTAGTATCTCATTCTTGGCCATCTGCAAATATGACTTATGCTTAAGTCAGATGGGCATCCAAGCCAAGCTTTGTCGCAAGTTCCTGTGTTATAATCTTAACATCTGACTACTGTGTTAATTAAAAAAGAACATTCAGTGATCAGGATGCACGAAAAGCTCTTGTGGCTTGTCTAAATAAAGTGGCCTCTGATGAAAACAGTAAATTTTTAGGAAGGTAGATTTGAGTTTGAAGCTTAATTATGTCATTGTGGATTAGTTTTGAATGCTACAAATATATGGCAGTAGTCTTTGAAATATTAATAGCAATATTTTTCTTTTCCTAACATCATTCGCCACCTACCATCACCAGATGGTACAAAGCCAACTATAGTATGGCAGAGAGACTAGAATGGGGTGAAGGTATGGGCTGTGACTTTGTAATGAAAAGCTGCAAGTACTGGATTGACCGACAACGGAAGATGTAAGTATTGTATTTTGTTTGCAGAGATATTTATTGATCTGGTGCCTCAAATAACTATCAGCAGTTTAACCTGATATGTGGAGCACTAACTAGAGTGTTGATTGATGCTGCTTTGATGTGGGTGTGCTTAACACTATTTATTATAATTTTTAATATTTAAGTGAGTTCCCAATGCTTTTTACTTGTTACACTTCCATTGGCAAGCTTTTACTTCAGCCATCTAAAATGTGATCTTATACCTGAAGAACTGAGGACAATGTATAACTGTATGGATTAATGTGGAATTACACTGTCCCTTCATAACCCTCATCAACTGATAATAGATACCTTGTTTGTAAATTGAATCAAGGTGAAATCATGAATCAAGTTTGAGTATTGTTAAATAAAGATTAAACAAAATAATTACTTTTTTGCTGAGATTACAATAAGTTTCTAGTGAAACTTTAAAAAAATTGAATTTCTGTTAATCTTATAATCTTGGATCCCATAGCTATGAAGACAAGCATTTGTATGGGACAGATTGATTCTTGCCTTTCTAGCATTACAGTAAGAAGAGAACTAAAGTTTCAACAAGCAAGGTATTTTACTTTTTTTTAATTTGCTCATGGGGGCATGGGCATCGCTAGCTGGCAAGCATTTATTGCCCATCCGAGTTGGCCCTTGACAAAATGATGGTGAGCTGCCACCTTGAACTTTTGCAGTCCATGTTCTGTACATGGACATTAAATGTCATTAGGCAGAGAATTCCAAATTTTGATCCTGCAACAGTGAAGGACAGCGATATATTTCCAAGTCAAAATAGTGAGTGGCTTGGATGGGAACTTGTAGGTGGTGGTATTTCCACATATCTGCTGCCCTTGTCCTTCTAGATGGAAGTAGCCCTAGGTTTGAAAGAGGCTGTCTAAGGATCTTTGATGAATGTCTGCAGTGTGTTTTGTAGATAGGAGACACTGCTGTTAATGAGTGGTTGTGATGGAAGGAATGGATGCTTGTGGATGTGGTGCCCATCAAGCAAGTTGCGTTGTCCTGGATGGTGTCAAACTTCTTGAGTGTTGTTGGAGCTGCAGTCATCCAGGCAATTAGTGAGTATTCCATCACACTCCTTACCTTGTGCTTTGTAGATGATGGACAGGCTTTGGGAAAGGTGAGTTAACGCGCTGCAGTATTTCTAGCCTGTGACCTGCTTTTGTAACTACTGTGTTTATGTGGCGAATCCAGTATTTTTGATCAATGGTAGTTCCCAGTATGTTGATAGTGGGTGATTCGGTGATGGTTATACTGTTGAATATCATGGAGCACGTTGTCTTTTATTGAAGATGATCTGATGCCAGATGAATATAAAAGGAAGATCACAAAGGAACATTAATTGTTTCACTTGCAATACTATTTCCAGTGACAGACCAGTCACTCAGATTAGCTTTCATAAATACCACGATGCCTTATGCAATAACTGATTGCAGAATTTATTCATTTTAGGGCAGACTGGAATTCAGACCCTTTGAACACGGTCATCACTGTGAATAGTCCCAAAGCTAATTAAAATGCCAAAGGCTGTAAATATAGACCATAAGCCGCTGGAGTACGGTAGGCTATTTGGCCCGTCAAGTCTGTTCCGCCATTCAGTGACATCATGGCTGATTGAATAATCCTCAATGCTAATTTTCCTGCTTACCTTCTTAACTCTTGATCCCCTAATTGATTAAAATCTATCTCACCCTTGAATATTCTTAATGACCCAGCCTCAACTGGCCTCTGTGTAAAACAATTCCACATATTCACAACCCACTGAGAAGAAAGTCTTCCTCATGTCTTGTCTTAAATAGAAACCTCTTACTCTGAGCTTATGCCCTGTAATACAGGACTCTCCCACAAAGCTAAGCAAACTCTCCATACCTATGTTGTCGAGAATCAACTTAGTTTGTTTTCTTTCTGCCATCCAGGTAGATGCATTTTATGCACTTATTAGCCAGAGAGATTAGTTCTGCTTTGAATAGTTGGTGTCAATATGAATGAGTTATATTTTTGGCCATCCACAGGTCCAGGTTGGGCACAAGCCATTGGGGTAATTGATCAGGCTGCCTGTCTCCTCCTTTGGCCTTGTCCATTCCTGGTTGACCCCAGAGAAGTATCAGGCCATACCTGTCAGTATACTTAAGGCCTTCTGTGACTGGTGGACAATGCGAGGACTGGGATGTTTGGTTTATACTGTAAATGCTATTTTGCTTATAATTTTCGTTTTCCTTTTGTTTGTGTTTTTTTGGTTGTATCCTCTAAAAAAGAGATGTTTTAGTTATTTCTCCTCTTGCTTGATAACATTGGGGAGATACATTTAACTTACATTTCATTATATTACAGTTTGGAAACATTTGTAAGCATAGAAGTTGATGGGCGAATTCAAACGATGTTTCATCAAGCTTAACTTGCACCATGACGGCAAAAACATCATGATTAGGCTCTTCATTATATCACCCTACTCTCCCTTTCTCTGCCTGTGTGTAATTTCTTACTCGAAACAGTAAAATAGTAGCAAAGGGATAATGATGGAAAATAATACTGTGGAATTTTTCTCTCCAATCTGCTCAGGCAATCAAAACCAGTCCAGATGGACCAAGTGTTTTGTACATTAGGATACTTACAAGCAATTCTATACGATGTGATCTTTGCCTTAGTGACAAACTGGTTCAGCTCACTTTTGAAGTGAATTTATTGCATGCAGAGACAACATCTTCCATACCAGTAGCAAATGTAGTCCTTTGGCTCATTACTATCTGGGAAAGGAAGTGTCACCTAATGTCAAGTCTGTTGCTATTATATAAGAGTTAATATTAAGGCTTCCAAGAAAGTTTAATGTGTTGTGGTTAAACTTCTGTAATATTGAGAAACTGTGATTAAATAGATGGAGCACAGTTATTCTAATAAACTAACATAGGGCAGACATCTAACCTGTAAACATAATACATCAACTAACTGCTTTTTTAAGATGATTAAAATAAATTGTATATTACATCGTTACATAGCTTGGTTTCTTCTGCTTAGATTATAATGTTCCACAAAATTGATGATTGGTATGTAATATTTTTGTCATACCCATTACTGTCCCTTATAAAGTTTATTTTGAATATGTTTCAAAATGAAATAAGAATAAAATTGATTAGTTTGTTGTGCTTCTTTCTATCTTTAGAAATGGGATATGAAAAGAGATAGTAGAAGTTTATGGAAAGTGATTGTTATTGAACTGTGATAAGTAATGATATTGTGCATATTTTTCTCCAGGAATAAAAATGTAACTCCATATTGTGACACACTAAGGACATCGCCATTACAGTTAACATGTCGACAGGATCAAAAGGCTGTAGCAGTCTGTAATTTAGAAAAGTACCCAGCACATCTACCATCAGAGTATCAGGTATAACAAAATACTTTCCATTTTACATTCAGATTGACATCATGAGTGTAAAATTGGCTTGAAAACCTTCCACCAATAATAGTATCAGAGATGGTAGGAACTGCAGATGCTGGAAAATCTGAGATAACAAGATGTAGAGCTGGATGAACACAGCAGGCCAAGCAGCATCATAGGAGCAGGAGGGCTGACGTTTCGGGCCTAGACCCTTCATCAGAAAATGTCTCATGGGGGAGGCGATGGCCTAGTGGTATTATCACTGGACTGTTAATACAGAGACCTAGACAACGTTCTGGGGACCCGGGTTCGAATCCCCATCAGAAAATGATGAAGGGTCTAGGCCCGAAACGTCAGCCTTCCTGTTCCTATGATGCTGCTTGGCCTGTTGTGTTCATCTAGCTATACACCTTGTTATCTCACCAATAATAGTTTTGAGTTCTGATGGAATCACTATCCTAATTGTTAATTCTGTTTCTCTCGTTGACATTGTTTATGTTTTAGATTTCCAACGTTTGCTGTATTTTACCTTTGCATCATTTGCACTGTTGTTTTGCTTTTCTTTCAGCCCTTAATTTTATCAAGACAAAATTGTAATAATTTATTTTTAGAGCTTGAGCACTGCTGAAAAAAGGAGAGACATTCTGTTGAAGCTTTTCATCTTGCATTAATCAGAACATTTAATAAAGCATGTTAACTTTCAGTCAGCATTAATTGGTGCATTCTCGGTGGCAATGCCTCTACTGATCAGAATTCACTTGCCGACCAATCAACAGCACTCTCCTCATATAGGATCAGTTTTGGTTTTTCCCTTGAAATTGCATTCTTGCAAAATGTCCTGATAAGTGCAAGATGAAAAGCTTAGACAAAATGTCTTTTTGTGCATTACTCAAATTTGGTTAATGAAGATTTGTTTTTAACAGTATTTTGACTACCTTGATGGTGTACCAGAGGGAGAGCTGCAATACTACGGTGGATCAGTGGAAATAGCGGACTACTGTCCTTTTAGTCAGGAGTTCAGTTGGTATATTAGTGGCGAATTCCAGCGTGGCTCTGATTGCAGAATCTCTCAAAATCAGCCAGGTTAGTTACTCAATCCATTTTACTGAATAGTCTTTGAACCCTGGCACTGTGATCTGCTGTTGCAGGATTGTGAAATTTCTGATAATTTATTTTTTCTTTATTCATTTATGGGATGAGGGCATCGCTGGCTAGGCAGCATTTATTGCCTAATTGCCCAGCAGGCAGTTAAGAGTCAACCACATTGTAGGTTTGGAATCACATATAGGTGACATGGTAAGGATGGCAGTTTCCTTCCCTAAAGGTCATTAGTGAACCAGATGGTTTCCAACAATCAACAATGGATTCACAGTCATCATTAGATAGTCTTAATTCCAGATATTTATTGAATTCAAATTCCACCATCTGCCATGGCGGGATTCGAACCCGGGTCCCCAGAACATTGTCTAGGTCTCTGTATTAACAGTCCAGCAATAATACCACTAGGCCATCGCCTCCCCCATGAGATGTTGACGTTGACGTTGACGTTGACTTCACATTGTATGCCATCCACATGCCTCCTTTTCCTCAGCATATTATTGCACAAGTTGTAAAACATTTCAAGAAATAATGAAGAGCAACGCACACCTGTATATCAGGAAATTTACCTTGAAAATGATCATTTAGCACTCAGATTTTATTGATATCAAATTAATGTACTAGGCATGGTAATTTCAGTGTCATACATCTCATGTTCCCTCATGCAGAAAATTTTGATAGTTTTGATTCACTGGATAGCTTTGAGTTAAACCAAAGAGGCTGTTTTCTGCCTTCATGTTGGGCTAGCTTATGCTGCATGTATTTCTAATTGTATTCCACCAAGCTGTGATTTTAGATACTTACAGAATTTTGTAAGTTTTTTTTCTGTAATGTGTAGAAAATAATTGGTTGGGGAGTGTTAATGTGGATTTATGAAGCCCAAGTAATGTTTGGCAATCCTGACAGACGTTTGGAGGATGTTAGTAGCAGAGTTAATAAGGGGCAACCAAAGGATGGTGCTGTATTTGGATTTTTAAGAGACTTTTGATAAAAGTCCCACACAAAAGGTTAGAAACCAAAATGAATTCACATGGAGTCGAGGTTATACATTAGCATGGATCGAGGATTGGTTAACATGCAGAAAGCAGAGAAAAGGAATAAATGGATCATGTCAGGTTGACTGGCTGTAACCAGCGGGTACTGCAATGATATGCTTCGGCCCTGGTTTTTCATAATCTGTATTAATGATTTGAATGTGGGGGCCATTTGCAATAGTTCCGAGTTTGCAGATGATACAAAACTTGGTGGGAATATGAGTTTTGAGGAGGATGCAAAGAGACTTCAAGGAGATTTAGTCAAACTAATTGAGTGGGCAAGGGCATGATAAATGGAATATGAGTGGATGAGTGTGAGGTTATCCAACTGTGTAGCAGGAAACAAGGTACAAATTTCTACTTGAATGGTGAGCGATTAGAAAGTGTTAATATACAAAGGGACCTATTCTCCCTGTTCACATGTAACCAAAAGCCAGCATGGATGTTCAGCAAGAAATTTGGAAGACAAAGGGTATATTGTCCTTTGTTACAAAAGGTTTTGAAGACCGGAGCAAAGAAGTCTTGTTTCAATTGTGCAGAACAACAGTGAGATGCACTTGGAATATTGTGTACAATTCTGGCCTCCTAACAAAGAATGATAGTTATCATAGAGGAATGCAGTGGAGGTTCACCAGACTGATATCATTAGGACACATTGAAGAGACTGGGTCTGTATTTTCTGGATTTCAGAAGAATAAGAGGTGACCTCATAAAAACTCTCAAACTTCTTTAGAGATATAAGAATGGATGTTTTGCTTGACTGTGCAGTCTAGAGCCCAAGGACACAGTTTCAGAATAAAAGGCAAACCATTGGGACCAAAATAAGGAGGAACTTTATCACTCGGACAGGGGTGAATCTTTAGAATTTTCTACTACATAAGGTGGTGGAAGTTCAGTAGTTAGTTCGAGGCAAAGATTGATAGATTTCTCATTACTGTTGACATCAAGGAATATGGGCAGAAATATGGTATTAGAGTAGACGATCGGACATAAACGAGAATGGTGACAATTAAAAGCAAGATACTGCAGATGTTGGAAATCTGAAATAAAAACAAAGTACTGGAAAAACGCACTAGGTCTGGCAGCATCTGTGGAGAGAGAAACAGTTAATGTTTCAAATTTGATATCGCTTCTTTAAAAGAGCCGTGTTGGACTGAATGTTAACTCTCCCTCCCCTGGTGCTGTTAGACCTGTTGTGTTTCTCAGCACTTCATTTTTATATCCAGAATGCAGCTATCTAGAATAGCGGTGTAGGCTTGAGCAGCTGAATGGACTTACACCTATTTTCTTATTTGTTATTACTAATCTAGATTTCATTTCACTGATATACTTGATAGGCAAGAAAATTATAATGCATCATACATTAAGCTAGTAGCCATCATTATTATGGAAACATGGACTAAAGTTTTTTCCAGCTGTCCCTTTACTCATATCCATCTTGTAAATAATTTTTGATAAATATTACCTCTCTAGCCTTCAGTTGTCTCAAATGTTCTGTGAACCCAGAGGAACTCAACCTTAAATTTGTAAATTTCAATTCAGTTTATTTTCAATCCCCCTGACAGGCTTTTATTGTGTGTCCTGATTATTTCATTAGTTCGTTTTTCTATGGACCATGTCAGTGTCTTGAATGAAAACCTTTTTGAAGCATTTTGGAATTTTTTTTACTCAAGAATACCAAATAAATAGAATTTGTTGTTTGTTTGGCATTTTTTCATAGTTTGTAAAGAAGAGGCTCAAGAATGTCACTAGTTTTATTTGATGAGATTAACTGCTAGACCTTGTGATGGGGTGCAATACTTTATAAGATTGGAGCAGCAGATGACTTATGCAATATGTTATGTTTTTTGATCTGACTTGTATATATTAAGATTTAGTTGACTGGTGAATATGTTAATCTGTTTGCATTCCAGAGCCTTCTCGAAACTATGGTGCTGAAGAGTATGGACCAACCTCTGTCTGCCTTGCTCAGAAATCTCGTTTTATTATGAAGCAGTGCAACAAGAGTCCAAGTTCTCCAGACTGGGGCAGTGGATGTTATAGGGTGAGTGGCGTTGTCTGTTTCACTACAGATCTTTTCTGCTCCTAAACAAGAATAAGAATTCCATTAACAGGAAAACTAATACAGATGGTGCATTTGCTCTAAAGTGTCTGAAATGAATATGAATATAGGCGAGGTAAAATAAAACAACTGCTGGGAATTTGAAAAGCATGCTATTGTGTGAGTCCACCAGAGAATGATCCAGCATTAAGCAATTTCACAAGGACAATTCCAATTGGTAATATGTTTGTCTTTCTTGCAGATTTTCTTTTGAGAGTCTGCTAGTTTATTAAATGGCCATTGTTGGGAACAAAAATAAAAAATAAGCCTTTTATAAACTCTTTTATATTTGCACCTAATGATTGGTGCTCATCCTAGAATGAGCTTGTGATTAAAATAGCATTTTATGTTTAAAAATTAGATGACAGTCTGAAACACAGACACGTATTAAGTGGAATGTACAATGGATTAGTAGACACCTACAAAAGAAAGACTGACAGTGTTTCATCAGAAGTTTCCTGTGCAAAATGTTTCATTTGAAAGATCTCGTTCAAAAAGTATGTTGCCAACAACTGCTGACTAACTGCAAACTTTTCAGTATTTTCAATTTAGCATGAAAACTATGGATGCTTGATTCTGTCATTAAAAGTTAGTAACACTTAAGGAATTTGGAATGTTTAAGAATGAGAAACAAAGTTTTAGGAATGTAAGAAATACAAATGGCATAATCTACAATCTGATTACCAAACATATCAAGAGTAAAACCACTAAAATGAATCACTAAGTTAGAAATAACAAGTAAAATGGCAGTTAATCACTTGACTGAAAAATGTATAAATAAAGAAAAATTAAAATATTTAAAACGTCTGTGCTCCAGAACACAACACAACTATCTAAACATATATTGAGCTAATCTGTATGACTGCATTTATTGTCCAGTTATTGGAACACTGTTCAACTCACATCATAGAATTTCAACATCACAAATTATTGTCAGGAATTTGCAAGTTAACAAAGGAAATGGATATTTGAGATTTGATATACTTTCCCAGGTTGAAAAGTAACATGGTTGAATTGACGCTTTGTGTATGTTGTTTATTACAATCATGCAGTAATAATTTTGTAACATTTTCTAAATAGGTGTATACTTATAACAACAACAGGAGGAAAGAGAAACAAAGATAACTTGGTTTTATATTCTATTGCAAAACCAGTGTATTTTTGGAGATAGTAAGAACTGCTGATGCTGGAGTCAGAGATAACACAGTGTGGAGCTGGAGGAGCACAGCTGGCCAGGCAGTATAAAAGGAGCAGGAAAGTTGACGTTTCAGAAGAAGGGTCCCGACCCGTCAACTTTCCTGCTCCTCTGATGCTGCCTGGCCTGCTCTGTTCCTCCAGTATATTTTCGGAGTGTCTTTTGTAATTTGGTGGATAAATTAATCAATGAAATACCTTCTGTTTCATTCTTAGGTTTCCTGCACAATTAAAGGACTAATCGTTTGGGTTTCTGATAAGTTCTATTTATGCAGCCGAACAGGGCAAGTACTATCTATTAATGTTAAGATGAGTGACTGGGTCTACACAGGAAGCCTGGTATGTCCATCCTGTTTTGACTTCTGCAATACATGTCCACCAGAGAGTGATCCACCATTAAGCAATTTCACGAGGACAATTCCAATTGGTAATATGTTTGTCTTTCTTGTTTATTTTTGATAGTCTGTGCTAGTTTATTAAATGGCCATTGTTGGGAGAAAAAGTAAAAAATAAGTAATTGAGAACTGTGTTCTTATTTCACCATCCATCCATATTATTAGGATTTAGCATATATTCTAGAAATTAAGTATACACCTATAGTAACTGTAATAGTTTCAATTCTTGTGAGATAACTGAAACAATCTGTGTGCATCGCCTGTATTTTAAATGAAATAGGTGTGTTGTATTATTTTCTAGGCCCATGAATAGCTATTTACTGTAGAGATAGTAGGAACTGCAGATGCTGGAGAATCTGAGATAACAAGGTGTAGAGCTGGATGAACACAGGCCAAGCAGCATCTTGCTCCTCTGATGCTGCTTGGCCTGCTGTGTTCATCCAGCTGTACACCTGGTTATCTCAGTTATTTACTGTATTTTGTGGTCACTAAATGAAGGGATAAGGGTACTGGTTCAATTTGCTCCTTCAATTTGAAACACTGAAGTATGAAATATAAAATTATTTTCTGTTTGCTACAGTTCATGAGCATAATTACCATAATTTCACTATCCTGCACCTCAGTAAGATTTTTTTGGCATTATTCTCCTGTTTGCTGACATTATGTAAGCAAACTTTAAAATAGTCATTAAATAAAAGTCAGCATCAATTGCCATTGCAACACTGGTGGAGTAGGGGTGTAATGAGTGAGAGAACTCATATTGGCTGACCCTAGAAACTGCAGTGGAGATACACACTATACAGATACATACAACAGCAAAATTCACTCATGACTATGGGGAAAACTATGTGGGGGAACTCACAGCAGGGGAAGAGTTAAGTGGTTAGTTTTAAAGTGTAACCTTTTTTTCATAAATTTTCATAAATAGTGAGTAGAGTGGGTTCTTTTTTGATTGTGTTTTTATTGAGGTCTGTCTCTTAATTAAACTTTAAAAATATAAGAACATGCGTACTAAGCTAGCATGGAGCAGTGTTTTTAGAGCAGTAAGACCGTGTTGTTTTTTGGGTCTGTAGATTGTTAACGAGCAAAGATGGCCTTTAGTAGAGTGACTGTTGGATGTTTGAATTTACAGGGCCTAGGGGGTGTGATGGATGGCAGTTGCAGAGAGGGAGATAAACCGAATATATTCAGGTAGATGGGTGACATCCAGGAGAGGGAGGCAGGTAGTGCAGGACTCTCCTGTGGCTGCACCCATCTCAACCAAGTATACTGGGGTGGGGTTGGGGTTGGGGGGCTGCAAGGAACAGGGAGCAAGGCGATATTGAGGCAAGAGATCAGTCTGAGACTGAAACAGTTGGGAAAAGGAGTAAGTCAAACATTTAGGGCAAGCAAGAACAAAGCAGAGAACAAGGTAGGTCTGATAAATTAAACTGCATTTATTTCAATGCAAGAGGCCCAACAGATAAGGCAGATGAACTCGGCATGGTTGGGCACATGGGACAGGATATCGTAGCAATTACAGAGAAGTGGCTCAGGGACAGACAGAACTGGCAGCTTAACATTCCAAGGTAGAGGTGCTATAGGGTGTCTCGAAAGGGGTCAAGAAAGAGGTGGAGTGGAGTTTTTGGTTAGGGATAACATTACAGTTGTACATAGGGAGGATATTCTTGGGAGTATGTCCAGGGAAGTTATTTGGGTAAAACTGAGAAATAAAGGGATCCCATTGGGATTGTACATTAGATCCCCCCACCCCCTCCAATAGTCAGTGGGAAATTGATAAACAAATTGGTAAGAAGATCTCAGTTATCTCTAAGATTGCTAGGATGGTTATGGCAGGAGTTTTAACTTTCCAAACAGTTGTTGAGGCCTTCGATGGAGAGGGATATGTGCATGTACAAGAAAATTTTCTGATTCAGTATGTGGATATGCCTCCTAGAGAAGGTGTAAAACTTGAGCTTCTCTTGGGAAATAGGCAGGACAGGTGACTGAGCTATCAGTGAGGGAGCACTTTGGGGCCAGTGACCATAATTCTATCAGTTTTGAAATAGTGATGACCGGTAGACCGGATCTAAAAGTTGAAGTTCTAAATTGGAGGAAGGCCAATTTTAATGGTATTAGGCAAGAACTTTCAAAAATTGACTGGGGGCAGATATTTGCAGGCAAAGAGACGGCTGGAAAATGGGAAGTCTTCAAAAATGAGATAACGAGTTCAGGGGACTATGTGTTCCTGTTAGAGTGAAGGACAAGGCTGGTAGGTATAGGGAATACTGGATGACTAGAGAAATTGAGATTTTGGTTAAGAATAAAAGGAAACATATGTCAAGTGTAGACAGCAGAGATTGAGTGAATCCTTAGAAGAGTATAAAAACAATAGGAATAGACTTAACAGGGAAATGAGGAGGGCAAAAAGGGGAAATGAGGTAGCTTTGGCAAATAGGGTTGAGGAGAATCTGAATGATAAGGACAAAGGGTAACTAGGGAGAGAGTAGGATCCCTCAAAGATCAGCTCGGCCACCTGTGTGTGGTACCGCAGGAGATTGGGAGATACTTAATGAGTAATTTGCATCAGTGTTTACTGAGGAGAATATAGAGAAAATGGGGAGATAAATAGTGACATCTTGAACAATGTCCATATTACAAAGGTGGTGGTGCTGGACGTCTTAAAAGGCACAAAGATGGATAAATCCTCAGGATCTGATCAGGTGTACCCTAGAACTCTGTGGGGGGCTAGGGAACTGATTGCTGGGCCACTTGCTGAGATATTCGTATCATTGATGGCCACAGATGAAGTGCCGGAAGTGTGGAGTTTGGCTAAGATGGTGCCACTATTTAAGAAAGGTGGTAAGGAAAAGCCAGGGAACTATAGATGGTGAGCCTGACACGGTTAGTGGGCAAGTTGTTGGAGGGAATCCTGAGGGACAGGATTTACATGTATTTGGAAAGGTAAGGACTGATTAGGGATAGCCAACATGGCATTGTGTGTGGGAAATCGTATCTCTCTAACTTGATTGAGCTTTTTGAAGAAGTACCGAAGCGGATTGATGAGGGTAGAATGGTGGACTTCAGCAAGGCGTTTGAAAAGCTTCCTTGTGGTAGACTGGTTAGCAGGGTAAGATCACATGGAAAACAGGGAGAACTAGCCATTTGGATACAGAACTAGCTTGAAGGCGGAGGGTTGCTTTTCAGACTGGAGGCCTGTGATGAGTGGTGTGCCACAATAATAAATAAATAAATCTAGTCTCACTTGCCAGCATTTAGTGCATATCCCTCTAAACCCTTCTTATTCATCTACCCATCCGGATGTCTTTTAAATGCTGTAATTGTACCAGCCTTCACTACTTCCTCTGGCAGCTCATTCCATACAAGCACCACCTTTGTATGAAAAAGATGCCCCTCTTGCCTTAAACCTATGCTCCCTAGTTTTGGACTCCCCCACCCGGGGAAAGACCTTGTCTACTTACCCTATTCATGCCCCTCATAATTTTATAAACCTCAGTGCTGGGTCTGCTACTTTTTGTCATTTATATAAATGATTTGGATAGTGTTGCTGAACAAAGAGACCTTGGAGTACAGGTTCATAGTTCCTTGAAAGTGGAGTTGCAGATAGTTAGGATAGTGAAGAAGGCATTTGGTATGCTTGCCTTTATTGGTCAGCACATTGAATATAGAAGTTAGGAGGTCATGTAGAGGCTGGTTAGGCCACTATTAGAATACTGTGTGCAATTCTGGTCTCCCTGCTACAGGAACGATGTTACGAAACTTGAAAGGGTGCAGAAAAGATTTACAAGGATGTTGCCAGGGTTGGAGTGTTTGACCTGTAGGGAGAGGCTGAATAGACTGGGGCTGTTTTCCCTGGAGCATCAGAGGCTGAGAGGTGACCTTTATAGAGGTTTATAAAATTATGAGGGGCATGAATAGGGTAAGTAGACAAGGTCTTTCCCTGGGTGGGGGAGTCCAAAACTAGGGGGCATAGGTTTAAGGCAAGAGGGGCATCTTTTTCATACAAAGGTGGTGCTTGTATGGAATGAGCTGCCAGAGGAAGTAGTGAAGGCTGGTACAATTACAGCATTTCAAAGACATCCGGATGGGTTAGATGAATAAGAAGGGTTTAGAGGGATATGCACCAAATGCTGGCAAGTGAGACTAGATTTATTTAGGATATCTGATCAGCATGGACGAGTTGGTTTGAAGGGTTTGTTTCCGTGTTGTGTATCTCTATGAGGCTGTGATGTCCAGAGTCTCTTAACATAAAATTCACAATGTAATTGGATGTTAATTTTGTAATTTCAGCTTGGAAGAACATTGTAGCTCTTGTGCATTGGGGGTAACTGTTCTGCATATAGCAGACTGTTCGGTTTCCATTTGAAACATATGTGTGGTAGTTGTTATGAAGAGTTTCTTATCAAGATTGCAGAAAATATAATTTTATATGCATAGTCATGTAAATGAGTATTTGATGCATGAAACACATATGATAAATTTAAACATTCTGTTTTAAAACATAAAAAAGCACAGATTCTTTACATGGTACAGAAAGTCAAAATTTATTCAAGTATGATTTAGCTCTGTAATTTAGAAAGTTTGTTATGTGTTTCTTTTTATCATCTTAGATCCATGCTCCAGGTCATCAGGACTGGTGGTTACTCTTTGGTTCTTCATAACCAACTTCCTGCCACTGGTAGTAGGCTTCTTCCTCTGTGTGTGGAATTAACTCCATTAAAGGCTGTACTAAGGTTGTACAGTTTGAACACTGCCACAGCTAAGCATTATTCTGCAAAAGGATATACTAGGTGCTTTTATCAAAAAGACTGAATTCAGTCTTTGCGATAGGTATAAGGATTGATTGTGACTTTTAATCTCAGTTGATTAAACACTCCAAGAAACTATGGCTGTGTCAAATGACAAGGGTGCTACTACTGTACTTTGTGTATCGAACAATACTGAACTACCTCGAAAATGCTTCATAGGAAAATGAGCTAAATGCAGTCTCTCCCTTGATTACTTGTATATGCACATTTGAATGTCTTATGTAAATGGTACTGACTTGCACAGATTGTCAAATAGGATTCAGGAACATGTCAATCTGTCACTATTTGCACTTATGTTGCTTATTTTGCAGTTAGTGCCTCAGTTTTATAAAAAAAACAATCCTGCACAATTGTTAGTGATTAGTAGAACTTCTGTAATAATGATTATGTGAGCATCAGATATTTGTTTTAATTATACCTTGGATGTCGTGTACAGCAATAAGTAATTAAGCACATTGTTGTCCATTTTGTAATCCTTTCCTGTTTTCCTAGTCCTGTATAGTCTGTAATCAGATGTTAAGATGCCAACAATTCAGGGGACCACAGAAGCTGGGTTTGTAACTTTACTTAAAAAAAAATAGAAATCAATAAGGGATTAAAATCCAATATTGAAGACAAGTGGATAGCAGTTCCACTTTGTCCTCTATGCTGTCCTAATGGCTCAATGGATTTTAAAAATCGAAGCACTGAATAGGTCCCAAGTTGAACCAGGCTGAGTTGTAACACTCCCCAAGATTGAATTAATTTTAATGCTTACAGGAAGATCTGTGAATAGAGTATGGTCACTTGAGTGATATTTAAGGGTGCCTAGCCCCTTTGACCCAATAGGAAATTGGCACTTTTAAAGCAGGAGAAAAAGCTGATGAAAAGCTTTTATTTTTGTCAACTTTTAAAAAGTTTATTTAAAGTGAAATTAAACAATATAGTTTATTTCTACAATAGATCTATCTACAATAGTGATCATTTAATGATATAATTTAATCATAATATTACCAGAATTATACCAATCAAAAAACTGCCCTGAGTAAGTAAAATGAGTTTCCTACAGGATATCTCCTCATATATTTGTAATGAAGAGTTGAATACTAAAGAATAATGGTGCAATATATGTTTTGTAAACATTTATTAGTGTTAGTCAGTTATGGTTTCTTTTGCTTAATAAGCAAAACATTATTAGTGGGGTACAGTGGAGTGAATCAAAAGCTGTTCTATTAGAGCACAGATAGGTCAGTTTAGCTAGATGAATTCCTGTACAACAAAAATTACTGCTGTTAAAAGGACCGATTTCACATCGGATCACAGCCCTACATTATGCCATGTCATATATTTCACAAGATAGCAACTTAGACCAAATAATCTTATTTGACACTATCAGTAAAAAGTGATCATGGCATCCTGTTCCTAGCTACTTTTTGCGAATCTGTTAGTTTAGTTTTAGGAAGACAGTATGCTGTTGAACATATTAAAACATAAATGTTATGCTGTTTAACAGTTAGTTTAACCATATTAGTGAGGCTTTTCATTTAGAATATATTTTATTGAGTGAATACTTTGAAATCAGTCAGCTTATCTCAGGTGATGAACTGTGAATATCTGAAGTCATACCTATTTCAGTATTTATTAGTATACTGGATAAAAGATTTTTCTTCTTCATATTAAACTGTGAACTTGCCAGATATTTTTCTAGACATGAATCGGACGAAGGTAAAACTAAGTGCAATATATTGAGTTTGTTTTTTTTCTCCTAGTTTGTTTCCCAATAATTGTATGCTAGGAAGTTCATTGTATAAACACAAGTGGCTAGCACCTGTTGCACTTGGTTTGTAAAATGTTCATATGTATTTTTATGTTTATAAAAATTGAAGGAATGTTGTAATTTAACATGTATAATTTGGTCTAGAAGAAGTAAAGTCACTTTCATTGCTCAATGTTTGCATTCTAAATATTGATGCTACTAAGAGTAGGCTGTTTTTGAAAGCATTATAAAATGCAGTACTAATTATTACTCTTACAATAACCATTACACCTGATTAGACACTTTACTATTTGTTAAGTTTTCATGGGAATGTGGAATAAAACATGAACCAAATCAATGTCTTGGTGTGATATAGGTGCGAGCAGTAATTGTGTTTTCTTCTTTTTTGAAGACCATAAATGAAACATGCAGCATATTGATCATTATAATTGTAAGATTATAATTTATTGATAATTTCAATGTTTCATTTAAAATTACACTATTTGACTGTTATTAAATTAGTCAGATTTGCATTTGGATGTCATAATGTGATGTTCATTACCTTAAAAAGATGTTAAAATATTTGGTATGAGGGTTGGGAGAATGTATATATTCTTAGCTCCATTTTATGCTTTTTTTTAAACATACAAGTATTGCAAGACCTCCTTCCTGGTCTGACGTTTCTTGGCTGTAATCTAGATATCAATTTCACACAACAGCTTCAGTGCAGATCCACCTAATATGATACACCTTTAGTAGACCACAAAGAGTTGAACATATTCACAATTATACCAGTTACTGATCAGTCCTGTGAGCTGGAGACTGTCTCTGGCAGTGTATCCACTGACAAGTTTTTTCATGCACATCTTCAGAGTGCTTGATCAGACCATCCTACCCAATGCAACAATAAAGCCTTGGAACCTAATTTTCTTCTACCCTTTCTTTATTGGCTGTGTGCCATTTAAGGTAATACCAGGTTTTGACCCATTTAATTGACTTCTAATTACATCACTTCTGACCATCAGTTTTGTAACTGGGTCCCTCTCAAGACTATGTTTCAGAGCATTATCTCCAATAGAGTTAATTATTTTTAGTGCTGAAGAAAAGGCGCATATTTATGACCATAATGAGCACAAAATGGATCCTTTCCATCATAGCTTGAGGCCAGATTTTGCAAATTGTTTTACAGAACTTGCTGATCCCAGTAAGTCTGCATCTTGACTAAATTACCTATCCTAACTTCTTGTTCCCAAGCCTCCACTGCAATTATTTAGTCATTATGCTGTTCTTCCGTCAATGTTCCATGTCACCACTATGAGACAAACTTTGCACATAGGATGCTAGCATAGTCGGTTCACTTTTATTTATATAAGGAAAAGAACAGTTACATGATCAGGGCCTAATGGTATTATCGCTGGACTGTAAACCCAGAGCCCCAACTAATGTTCAGGAGACCTGGGTTCGAATCCTGCCACAGCAGAACGTGGATTTTGAATTAAATAAATATTTGGAATTAGGAGTCTAATGATGACCATGAATCCAAAGACGTGGGTTGGAAAAACTCACCTGATTCACTAATGTCCTGTAGGGAAGGAAACTGCCATCCTCACCTGGTCTGGCCTACATGTGACTGTAGACCCACAGCAATGTGGTTCACTCCTTTAACTGCCCTCTGGGCAATTAGGGATGGGCAATAAATGCTGCCTAGCCAGCGACATCCTCATCCCATGAATGAATAAAAAAAATCAAACATACATTAAAGACTAAATAACATATTGGTTTGCATTTTACAACTAGTTGATGGGTGCCATTTATGATTTATTACATTTTCATCTGAATGTTACCCTTGGGGAAATATCTTTATGTTGGCTTGCTGCGATGTAGTTTTCTTTGGCACAGTTTACTTGATAATCATGAGCATGATAGATGATATACAGGATATATATAAGCCAAAAATGTCCTAGATTCACTTTATTTAGGTTAAGGTGATGTTTTTGAAGACAGTGTGCCATCATTCTAGAATCTAAAATTCTAGATTTAAGTAATTCTGACTTCACTGTGATGAGACACAGACTACACACATGGGTGAAGAACAGAAGAAGTGTTCAAAAAGAATTAAATGTGAGAGAACCCATTTATTGCCCTTAGAGACAGAAGTCCTACCTGGCAAGTAAAACCCATCACAAAGTCCAAATTGTGACTAATAAGAAATGCAAAGGACAACAACAGAAGAGCACAGCCTCTGAACAAAAGTACAACCCTTTGGAACTGAGATGAGGAGGAATTTCTTCGGCTCCAAAAAGAATGTATAGGAAGTAACTTTTGAGGTATATATAAATTAATAATTCTTTGATTATGTTAGGAAAAAGAATGTAGTCATGAGCAAACTGGTGTTTTACATACAAGTAAGGAAATGGTGAACATGTTGAAAAATTGCTTGGTGTTAGTATTTCTGGTAGACAAAGAAGATAGCAGACATCCCAAGAAAACTAATATTTGATCAGGGATGCCATCTAACACGAGAGACCCTTTCTGCTCATTATGTAGTCTTAGACTAAGGAGAACGGTGTAGAAATCTGAATCGAGCATTTCAGGAATAAAGTCAGGAAGTAGTTTTACTGGTAAATAGAGATAGAGTTCCAAACTTCCATCAAATAACAATTAATGGTTGTGATGAAAAGTGAGAGATATATACTTTTTTTTAAAGAGTTTGGATTTAAAATTAGTGGCATGTGTGTGTTGGTTGTGTTTCTGAAAGACGTTAAAAATTAACAAGGTTAGTCTTTCCAGAATCATGGTTTTAAATGATTGTGTGCCTCAAAGAACAGTACAACACAGGAACAGGCCCTTCGGCCCACCAAGCCTATGCTGACACATGATGACTTACAAATTTAAAAAAAACTTTTGCCTCTATATCCCTCTATTCCCTGCCTATTCATTGTATCTGTCAATGTTGCTAGTGTATCTGCTTCTGCTATCTCCCCTGGCAGCGCATTCCAGGCACTTAACCACCGTCTGCGCAAAAAAAATGCCTTTACATCTCCTATAAGCTTTTCCCCTTTTACCTTAAACCTATGACCCCAAGTAATTAACATTTATACCTTGAGAAAAAGACTCTGACAATCTATGCTACTCATAATTTTATGAACGTCTATCAAATCACCCCTCAGCCTCTGATGTTCAAGTGAAAATATTGTGAAAACCAAGTTTACAATAAAAACCAATAAAAATTTAGTTGGGACAAGCATCAAGTTAAACAAAAACGTTAATATGCAAGTACAGCAACCAAACAGGAAAGCATTGTTTCAGTATTTAGTTATCACTATTGCACAGTTCATGAACACATCACAAAGGTTTCATCTGCTCCGGTTTCCTATGTTTCCCACTCGCTAAAGTAATTGCAGAATGCACAGGCATGACCTAGCAGGAAAATCATGTTTGCATAACGATACCGCTGAATAAAATTGACAAAAAATTGTTTAACAAGTGAAGCATTTAATCCCAATACCTACACTAGGATCAAAAGTCTTCAGTTCTTAAATCTTTGACAATTCTAGCAATAGCATCTTTAAAAATTCCAACTTTATCTAATGACTATTTGGTGCGGTACTGACATTAGGGGGCAAGTTAAAAGTTATTTAGTAGATGTTTGGAGCATCCTGTTCAATCTTGCTGTCATAATAATTTTAAAGGGTTGTAGGTAGCTACTTGCAGAAGAATGAATTAATAAATAGCAAGTCAAGCAAGTAAGAGAACCAGATTAACCTAGATTGCTGATCTGGATAAACATTGCTGGTGGTGGTGGAGAGGAGGATTGTGCGGGGGTACTTGATAAACACGCTTTGTGACACTGCAGTGAACTGTTAGCATTGTAGAATCAAATTGTTTAAGTGCTTCAGCAATCTTAAGGTATATAGACTTTACAACCTACAAAACCATTCTTAATAAAGTATTTTATTGTGATTCACATATAATCAATTTCAAAGTTATATAATTTTTATATCTCCAGAACAAGGTTTATACCCTCCACTGTCGGTAGCTCAGCACATCCACCTAACAACATTTTTGCATTGACAGTTGAGTTGGTTTATTTTTAAAATAATAAAATGTCTACAGTATAAACATTTGTTTTAAGTGGTCTATTTTACTGGAACTGAATGACAAAAATTAGCTGCATAATTGAAAACCATTATTTACTACAGATAAGGTTAAGTTCAACAGAAGAAATGTGCTGAGAAACTGCATTGACAAAAGTAGGGAATGTTTGAAGATTTTATTGAAACATTAGTAAACATTCTAGAGATTAGAGAAGGATTTCACAAGTCCATATAAAAACATTTCACGACAGGTCAAAACACAGAATTAGTGGAATAGTGAAACCAAATTTCATTATTAAGTTTCACTATTTTTAAAAAAACATCTTCTTCAAAGATCAGCTTATAATGATAAATTTAAAGTAAGGTTGATAAAATAATCTGCAGTTATACTTATCATGTATCTGCAAAAACAAAAGGCTGTGTTTCTAACATGTATTGGCCTGAGTTGGCTCAAGTTACATGTGTTCTGGGTGGTTCTGAAGACACGTGATGATATCTGCGACTGGTCTGCCCTCGTAGCAGATTTGATAAACTGCTGCAAATAGTGGAAACCTGTGGGGGACAAGTAATACAAAAGTTGGTCTGAAATAATTTAATGTGTGGAATGGGACCATTCTACCCAAACTTGGCAGTAGTAAGTGGATACCATGTGCACGTACAAATAGCTACATACATTAGTACTAATCATAAATTTTCAGACTAAATTATTGAATTTACGACCCAGACATTTTTGGGCAACAGTCTGATGTGGCATCAAATTTTCTTTAATATGACTTCTGTGAAGCAATTTGAATCATTGTACTCCATTAAATACACCATATAAATGCAATTGTTAAAGTTATTGTACAATACATGATACATTGACACATTTCTACATGATTTGGCTTATTTGCCAATTATTTTAAGTAGTTAAAAAGCACTCACTGATTCACGAGGTTCCTCTGTTTAAGAACTTTATAAACTTCAGCAGAAGTCTGAGGACCTTGCAACTTCTGCCCATTGAGCATCTCTCTTTCCAATTCTTCAATGGCCTGGATAAAATATAGATGGGAGATTATGGTATGACTATATGGCCTATATTCTGATTATCCAGCAAAGTCAAATTGCTGTCATACATTGTGCACAATGTGGTACGTATCTAGATTTAATATTACTAAAAATAAGCATGATGAATATACATAACTCATCCCAAAATACAACCTTCGGTGAGTCTGCTTCATAGCAAACATAGCGAGATATGCCAGACGTGCTGAGTTTCTCCAGAAATTTCTGTTTTTGTTTCAGATTTCTAGCATGCATAATACTTTGTTTTAATTTAGTGTTTAATGCACAGCAAGATTTCTTTTTCTGTTTACTCAACTTCTTACCTTTCTACAGTTTAAGACTAGAATTCAAATTCTACCCTTTTTGATTATTTTTCATGCCCTGTATAACTT